CTCCCATGGCATCCTGCAACACGGCCCCCCTGCCAGGACCCCCGGTCCCCCCACCTGCTCATCCTGAGATTCCAGAACCGGTTAACGATCAGCACCACGAAGACGATGAAGAGGAAGACGACGACGGCAGTGATGCCCAGGAGCCAGGGCTGCAGCACCTTTGGGCCGGTGCCTGCATGGCAGGGGAACGGGGACAGGGGACGGCAAAAGGTGGGGATGGGGACAGCTTCAGAGCAGCTCCATCCTGCAAGGGATGGGACCCCCCCAAACCCTGGTGCGGGGCCCCAGTTATGTGGAACACACTGGAGACACCCGGGGACATTAGCAGGTACTCATCATTCTCCCCTTCCCACCATCCCTTGGGTGCCAAGGAAGCTCCTCCGACACAGCCCACCCGTGCCCGGCAGAGCGTGGGGGTGCCTGGCATGATGGGGAGCACTGGGGACAGCAGGCGGGTGCCCCCAAATCTTTCAGCTCTGCCCCCAAAAGGGTTGCTGCAGGAACAGGCTGCTCCCATTGGGGAGGTCTCTCGGGAGCTGATCCGATGCCTGGAGGGGGGCGCGGCCACCCCCCCAGGCACCCCAGGGGCACGGGAGGGGCACGGGACACCTACTGGTCTGTCCCCGGGCGGTGGCAGCGAGAACGAGCAGGACCAGGAGCGAGAGGGGCTGCGAGGGCCGCGGCATTTTCGGGCGGAGGGCTCGGGCACGGCTGGGTCCTGCTGCCCGAGGTGAGCTCCTGTCCCCGCCGGGCCGGGCGTTGTCTCCGAGCCGAGGGCAACGGGCGCCTTTATTGGCCTCACGGGGACAAGTGTCACCAAGTGCCATGGCAACGTGGCTCCTGTCATCCGTGGGAGGTGGCACCTCTCCCCTGGCTCAGGTGTCTCGGGGACCACAGTGGTACCCCCGTGCCCAGGACTGGGAACGACCCCTGGGTTGGGTGAGTGGACAGAGGAGGGGCTGGACGGGTGGACAGTAAGGTGGGTGGGCGGTGGGAGGACAGACTGGTAGGGTGGAGGAGTGCCCACCCTGCCTGTTGCCCCACCTCAACATCCCCCCTCTACCCATGGGGTGCCACCTCACCCCCACTGGCAGGGCTGGGGCAGATCCCACGGGGGTGGGGCAGCACAGGGGGCAGTGGGCAGTGCCAGGCCACCCCCAGTCATGGGCCAGCTGGGCCTCCAGAGGATCCCAGCTGGTGCCAGGGGGACCCCGCCCCGTTACAAGGAGTGCCTGGTACTGTCTCCAGCTGAATATTAATGGTGTCACTGGGGAGGCCACCAGGGCACAGGGGAAACTGAGGTATGGGGTGGCCAGCAGCAACCCAGGGATGAACAGGAGGTTTTGGCAGGACCCCCTCTGACTGTGGTGATTCCCTGAGGGGTGAAGGAGCCTGGGGACACAAGGACAGGGGCCCCACTGCAGACGTGGGGAAAGGGGATCCGGCCCCAGCCTGGGCTTAAGGCAGGGGGTGTGGGTCCATATGACAGCCCCCATCCCCAGTGCCCTCCCCACAGAGAGCCTCATGGGTACTTTGCCCCCCAAACTGGCTTTGGAGCACCTGTGGATGCCACTGGGCACAGCCTGGCAGTGCCAGGGCACCAAGGGGTAGGCGGGGTGGCATAGCCTCAGTGTCTGTCTGTCTGTCCGTCCATCCCTGTGTGCCTGTGCTGACATGGCCCCCCCGAAGGTGTTCGCATCCACGTTTCCACGTGCACCCCCGTGTCTGTGCCCCCACGCCGGGGGTTTGCACCGCTGAGCACACACCTTTACACACCCACGCTGTGCACCCACACGTGTGTCCCGCCCCACGTGCCCAC